AAGGGGTACCACTGTCGTTTTTTTTTTCGGGCCGAATTTTTGAGTTTCGATATCTCAGCTCTGGAAGGGGCTAGAGCCTCCATTTTTGCACTCAGGTCTAAGTCTCATGGCCCTCTATCAGAATCCAGAGTTTTGGGAAGATTGGAGAAACTTAATTTTTCGCCCAAAAAAAAAAACGTAAGGGGTACCACTGTCGTTTTTTTTTCGGGCCGAATTTTTGAGTTTCGATATCTCAGCTCTGGAAGGGGCTAGAGCCTCCATTTTTGCACTCAGGTCTAAGTCTCATGGCCCTCTATCAGAATCCAGAGTTTTGGGAAGATTGGAGAAACTTAATTTTTCGCCCAAAAAAAAAAACGTAAGGGGTACCACTGTCGTTTTTTTTTTCGGGCCGAATTTTTGAGTTTCGATATCTCAGCTCTGGAAGGGGCTAGAGCCTCCATTTTTGCACTCAGGTCTAAGTCTCATGGCCCTCTATCAGAATCCAGAGTTTTGGGAAGATTGGAGAAACTTAATTTTTCGCCCCAAAAAAAAAAACGTAAGGGGTACCACTGTCGTTTTTTTTTCGGGCCGAATTTTTGAGTTTCGATATCTCAGCTCTGGAAGGGGCTAGAGCCTCCATTTTTGCACTCAGGTCTAAGTCTCATGGCCCTCTATCAGAATCCAGAGTTTTGGGAAGATTGGAGAAACTTAATTTTTCGCCCAAAAAAAAAAAAACGTAAGGGGTACCACTGTCGTTTTTTTTTCGGGCCGAATTTTTGAGTTTCGATATCTCAGCTCTGGAAGGGGCTAGAGCCTCCATTTTTGCACTCAGGTCTAAGTCTCATGGCCCTCTATCAGAATCCAGAGTTTTGGGAAGATTGGAGAAACTTAATTTTTCGCCAAAAAAAAAAAACGTAAGGGGTACCACTGTCGTTTTTTTTTTTCGGGCCGAATTTTTGAGTTTCGATATCTCAGCTCTGGAAGGGGCTAGAGCCTCCATTTTTGCACTCAGGTCTAAGTCTCATGGCCCTCTATCAGAATCCAGAGTTTTGGAAGATTGGAGAAACTTAATTTTTCGCCCAAAAAAAAAAAACGTAAGGGGTACCACTGTCGTTTTTTTTTCGGGCCGAATTTTTGAGTTTCGATATCTCAGCTCTGGAAGGGGCTAGAGCCTCCATTTTTGCACTCAGGTCTAAGTCTCATGGCCCTCTATCAGAATCCAGAGTTTTGGGAAGATTGGAGAAACTTAATTTTTCGCCCAAAAAAAAAAAACGTAAGGGGTACCACTGTCGTTTTTTTTTCGGGCCGAATTTTTGAGTTTCGATATCTCAGCTCTGGAAGGGGCTAGAGCCTCCATTTTTGCACTCAGGTCTAAGTCTCATGGCCCTCTATCAGAATCCAGAGTTTGGGAAGATTGGAGAAACTTAATTTTTTCGCCAAAAAAAAAAAAACGTAAGGGGTACCACTGTCGTTTTTTTTTCGGGCCGAATTTTTGAGTTTCGATATCTCAGCTCTGGAAGGGCTAGAGC